AATACTTCCGAATCGTCAAAACTCCCAGGTATACTTTGTTCTAACGATTGGATCTCGTCTAAAGACACAACATTTTTTCGCCATGGAATTCGTCTACTAGATGGCTTTAAGTTACAGAATTGAACTGGACAATCCTTTCCAAATAGATTATTTTAAAAAACTTTGCAACATTTTCTGGAAATAGGTTATGGTATTCTTTTTCTTTCTTTTAATAAACTATATATGACTATATAGACTATATATGAATATTATAGTTGGACAAATAGGCAACAGCTAGATAAATGATTAAATAGCCAGATTTCAGGCGTGTGTAAATAAATGTATCGGATAAACAAACAGATTTATAGTGGAGAGTGTACGGTAAATGGAAAAAACAATTGTAAATACGCGTCCCTTTACGTGGCCAGAAGGCTGAAAAATAAACTGTTGTTATTTATTCTATTTAATTTTAGCTTCACAGGTCGGAAATGGACTTGCTTTTACAATATTTTTTTTAAATTCACGTACACTGGATGGATATGAAGGATAAAGAAAAACAAAAATTATTCAAACTCTCTGAAACATCTTGACCGACTGTAAGAGCCGACTAAAAGCGGGCAGTTTTGACGCGGTCACGTTGCATTATCCTGCGGAATGCACGGCTTCCGGGTGCATCTCCGGGAACAGATAAGGGGTTACAAAAGGCAGGCCTGGAATTCCGGAGCAAAGGAGTCCCACGTTGGTTTAAACGTGATCCTCGCGCGGTTCTCTACGTGACGCGAATACGATCTCTCTCCTCCTTTTCTCTGCCCTGCATCGTCCTCGCGACTTTTCTGTCTTTTCCAGCATTCCCTGCACCCTGAACAGAGAGCCTGATCGTGTTCTACGTGACCGGAGGATCCGCGCAGCCATTAGCTTCTGTGTGCACCTTCGAACTCGAAGGCACGTGAATTTTGGACGTTGGCCAATGGGATAAGGATAATTCTTTTTGTTTGGCGAGAAGAAAAAAAAAAGAAGAGAAAAGAAAAAAGAAAGGAAAAATAATGGGAATGAGGTGTTCGAAGGGGGAGGATCCCAAAAGGCTGGAGAATATTCGTGGAAGATAATAACAGGTTCGCCTAAATAATAATAGGTTTATGCAGGCTGGGAAATCGCTTAAGAGATTCTTTGAATACTTTGGGAATATTTGCTCGCTTTTTAACCCTCGAACGATGTCTTGCACTTTTAACCCTCGACGTAATATGGAGCAAAGGAAATATGGAGCAACGAAAATATAAACGCAAAATGTTCAGATACAAAAATCGAAGTACAAGACTTTGGGATTAAATTCAAAGTACTTAGAAAAGTAAAAAACATTGTATTACTTAAAAAAAAATAAAGGGTTCTACAGATATTTACACGTAATAATTTGCAACCCCTTGCGGGGTACAAAGTGTCCAAGGAAGTTAACAAATCTGTATTGGTTATTTTAAAAAAAAAAAGATGAAAGATAAAAGATTTTGTAGGTACTTGTCTCTTGCCTTTAAAAAGCAAAAGGTTAGAAGAAAAGATCGAGTGCTAATAGATTTTGAGGATGTATATGGTATCAGATATTATTTAAAAAGAATTGTTAACGTTAGCAAATCTGAATAGTAGTAACACCATTGCTAATAGATTTGAGGAATTGTGTTAGAATTATTAATACATTTCAATAACAGTACTGTTGAATACTAATGAATTTATGGAATCTATTAGGTTGTCCCAAAAGTTTCTTTCACCTTACAAGGAAACAATAGATGCACAACATTTTTTCTTTTACATTATTTTACTGAATTATGTATAATTCGTGTTTTCCCAATAGAACAAGGTTCGATCCCAAACGAATAGAACAAAAGAAACTTTTGGGACAACCTAATATACATAGTATCAGACTATGTATACTTATACACAAGCCTTTAGGGGTTGCAAACTAAAAGATACAAATAACGATTATAGCATATATTCTAAAAAAAGTTATTAATTCTCATTGTAAATTTGTCTAAAAATTATGAAATAAAATTGCTTTACAATCATGCTGATGGAAGTACACAAGATAGACAATTCTAAATTGATTCATTTCTTCCACACACAGTTATCTCTATCTCTATTTGTATTAAGTAAGAAGAAACAAATTGTTCTTTCCTTTACAATCTACATAATTACACATAATAATAAGTCTTTTGTAAATACATTAATCCTTTTAAAAATGAATCACAGAGATACGATAATACTACAGTCTACGATATTTTTATCAGATTTGTATGCATGTTAATGTTCTACTCTCCCATTCTTGCGTAATCGAGTACATCTAGGATCGATAAAGGAAATTGCACGCAAACGGTATCGGAACACTGTGTTTGAACGACGATAACCCGATTCCCATTGCCGCTTGGAAGATCAAATAATTGATCGACCATGCGATAACTGTTATCTTCTATGAAGATAATCGTCGTGGAATTGTGACTCCTATGCGCTTTATCTAGGACTATTTACGTTTAAACCGAACGTTTTCTCTATTCTTATTTGAAAATTGTTAGAGAATGAATATATATATGTTTGCAATGAAATTTTATGATGAATGAATTTATTATTTTTTCTTTCTAATAGAATTATCGTTTTAAATTTGCTTTTTTCATTACTGTGTATTTTTAAGTCTCGTTCAAACGATTTCTGTGAATTCTTGTTAAAACAAATAATCTTTCTTTTATTTTGAAAATGAATTATCGTATTACTCCGAAACAAATTTTACAATAATATTATTATTAATTTATTAATAAAGTATTAGAACCTTTTTTACTTTTGTTCGGGCAATTTCAACTTGTAAGAAGAAAGAAAAAATGATGGACTGTTGTATTGACAAATTAGAATAAAATTTCCCTAAACAAGCTTCTTCCACTAATTTATTCGTTCTTCTAATTAGCTTGATATTTTATATTGCGCAATTATTTAGAGAAGCTCGTATATCCTTGAACGTTAGTAATTTCATAAACCGGAAATAGATATGTCGCTGACAGACTTCCCACGAGACAACCATTAGACTGTGAGTGTTCCATGAATCACTTTATCTCATAACAGAACTCCAAACGGGTACAAAGTTCCATTCGTCGGGTTGGAATAACAATTTCTAGTAATATTTTCATGAAAACGCTATCTTTACCATCGTTTAGATTATCAGTGTCAATAACCGGACTATCGTCGCTTTTAGAAATATTTTTAAATATCGATTATATCGGTTAATTCGTGTAATTTCGAAGATTATACACTTTAAATTTCCTCTTTAATGTAACGTACGATAAAAATTCTTAAAAATCACATGCTAATATCGACGAGTTTATTGGAATCTTATATTGCTACTATAAGTGAACAATAATAATGTTAAAATGCGTGCCGAATATTATAATTATAATTATACACTAGACATAAACGTGAATGATCGGTTCAATTCAATAAATTATTTATTACGCTTATGCAATAAATTATTCTGTAAAAGAAAGATGTTTCTGAGTGTTGATATCGGTTTGTGCAACAGCTTGCATCAATTCAAAATTGCCGCGCAATTTCCACATTACGATATAACCCTACTGCAGCCCTCAAACTTCTACGTTTTTCAAGCTTGCTCTCGTTAAATAAAAAGAATTTTTGGTATTTTAAACAAATTTAATACAAAATTTAATCGACGAATCATACACGCCAATAAGGATTGTTTCATATTTTCTTCAGACTCAAGATATTTTCTAACGTTACGAAAAGTACGAACGGCTCCGAAATTGACCGGAAGAACGTAACAGGATTGACACGTGGGCTGTCTTGTACATACTTTACCCTGGAATCCTCGAAAGATTAAAAGAAATATACACCGCCATAACATTTAATTTCTACATATTGTAGTTGCACACTTTTCCTCTGACAATATCATCTAAAACAATCGCATAGTCGAGCAGTTTCTTAGTCTATGAAATTCACGTATATTTGAAAAATTGCAACTGAAATTTGTCTTATTCTAAAAAGCTTAGTAACTTGTTATTCCTATAACATTATATGGATACTTTTTCACTCACCAAAATAGTCTTGGAATAAAATCAGGCACGAAGTAGTACAGTCGATGGCATCCTAATCGAAGCCCTCGTAATGGCTCAGGAAGTAATTGATTCCAGCGGCAAGAAGAAACACGCGTGCACGCGCATGCGTGTCACTGCGACTGATCGTCGTTTCAAGGAAAAGAATCACGCACTGTTCGCCGAAGAACGATATCGATCACGAGTTAAACGATTCACTGTTTCGTCCAGGAGAAACTGATGCAACAAGCAATAAAAGACACAATGATCCTTTCTTCGAATCCTTTTCTCAAGTTATAGAATAATATTTTCACAAACACCAATGAATACTTTGAAATATAAAGTTGCGGTTAGGAATCAGGTGCGCAGATCGTGTGAATAGAGCACAAACGAGCAGGTACTGCGCAGCCTTCGCTGCTCGAGCAACAGGTAGATACTGTGGAGAGAGGCGAAGATGGGAATGGAGCGAGTGTGCCACTCGGATAGACGGATCCGAATGCCGACGACGAGCGGGACTGGACGTAAAGGAACACTCACAATGCGGTGACGAATGGTTCTGTGCCGTTTAGATCGCAGATAACGCTATTTGGATGGCATTATGGAATTTAGTCCTTTGTCATCCAAAGAGGGTGTGTACTGTTTGTTTGTAAATTATGAGCTTGAAACGTTCTTGTATAATTAATTGAAGCTTGTTTTTGCAGATGATGGTGTCGGGATTTATGCATTTCTTATAGCGTTATTTGTGGTGCATCGTTTATTATAACCTATGAGTTTCCTACAGTTTTCTATGATTGGTCGAAGTTTATTTTTGCAGATGAAATTTACGAATTGAAATAGCGTTCAGAGATTCGATCGTGTCATCCAGAGGAAGCTGCAACGCGTATCATTTGATTTTGAACTGTGAGCTTGAAACATTTTCACATAATTAATAGAAGTTTGTTTTCGCAGGTGACGGTGTCCAGATGTACGAGTCTTTCATAGCGTTATTATTCAAATTCATCGAAACGAAACTATATGTGTCAAGAAAACGAAACCTTCCACGAGAATTGTTCCATGAAAAAGCCATATGCATTTACAAAACGATTATGGGGAAGAGAGGACTGGAAGTTATCTACCCAGTCACACCGCCATAAGTACACTGTAATGCAGCCTCTCTTATCGGCCTTATTAATCATTCAACGAGTGTAACATGGTTGCATGAAATAGAAAGAACGTATCGCGCAATTGTACGTAACGAGAAGGTTAACAAATTGTACGGCTAAGGATGTCATCTATCAGATCGACTCGTGTTACGATTATCACACAATCTGTCTCGAGACTCGTGTCTGACGTTCTTTACGTCTCTTTCAGCAATAATGCAACTCGCATACATCATTGTAGGTACCGTTTCAAAGTGAATTATTGAATATATATATATATATGTAAATTTTCTCTCGACGTGAAATTCCTTTATTTGTGATATATAGAATTTAATCTGTATTTTACATTTTTTCTAAAAGCGAATTTTTTTTGTTTTGGAGGGTATTCCTTTGACAAGGAAGATTCAAATGAGGTTATGAACTAAGCCTCAAAATGATTTTGAATATATAGAAATTAACCTATAGCGAATGATAAATATTTTGTAATTTAAAAACACTCAATTTTCAGAGAAAAATTTGCAAAGAATATGCTTGTAACTCTCCAGACTAAGAAATCAATTTTTCAATGTGAACAAATATTATTAAAATACTTTAAACATCGTAAATTAAAGTAAAAACAGAAAAATATGCGGATGCGACGAATAACTTGCGAAATAAAAATCTACAAGTACAGCACGTTCTCATAATAGACAGAAATTAGAAAATTCAAGATTCCGTATCTCTTAAACAAATCAGAAACTAGCAAAATTAAACTCGCCCTAATTTCACGTTTAATCCATCATATTTTATTTTGAGAAAGATGCCCAATACCAAAGCCAATTTACTATGAAATCTTTTGCTATTCGAACATTGCAAGAGCAAAAGTTTTTAGAATAGAAAATTTTAGATACCTTTTATTTCTTATGCAGTTTCATCAACAGCGTCATGCAAGCAGAGTATAATAATCGTTGCCCAGATTTCACGAGGATTTCATAATCGCGATAAAAAGTAGATTTATTCGTACAGGTAGTAGAAACATAGCAGGTCAGCCAGAGATTCAATTAAAGAGCTCGCATACGTGACTGGTTTCGTAGCATTTACTTTCCATTGAACTCGAGCATCTCAAAATCTAGCGCGGCATTATCTCAGAGTTAATCGAAAGAAGCTTCTTCGTCTGTTTCAGACAGACGGTTGCCGAAAGCTAGGTTTATTAGAATTTAGATTATAAGATGGATGTGAAATTCTGTTCATTATCATGTCCGTCCATCGTCTTCAAATTGCAGATTCACAGCACTTTAATTTATCTATCAGATAAGTTTCGCTGAATTAAAGATTCGACACAGAGAATGAGGGAAATGTCGCAAAACAGTGGAAGATTTGCACAAGATCCTTCAGCTAACTCCTACACAGGAGGTGCTGGCTCTACCATGAGGAACTCTGGTTGAATTTTCATTAGAATTCATCAAACCACCTTCGGACTTCATTATACTGTAATAGTGGAGGGGCTGCATAATAGCAGACTCACTGTACAGACCTTATTTGCATACATTAAAAAGGAAGATACAGTGTATGGGATGCATCTTCACACTTTAGAATGCTAGACATATTGTAGGCAACGCACCATTGTTAGAACATTATACTTCTTCATACATAATAATGAGTAAATATAAGACAGTATTGCAGAATATGTTTTCACATGCTGTAATAATATTTATGTTACACGTAAATACAATGCACAATGTATTAAATTAGTCACAGAACATTGTTTTGTATGTTATCGCATTGATCAGATTTCCAAACACTAATATGGTACGATAAATATGTAGACTATATGCATGTTAATATTTCTGTGCTATGTGCCATGTACTACAATAATAGAGATAACATAGAAAAACAAAGAAACATTATCTCACTCCTTTTAATAAATACACATCTAATAGAATACTATACAGTACATATAGAATAATATACAAAGGTATATTATTATAATAAACGTCGATATCATTTCTACATATATCACGATGTATCATGATACTGGATGCACTATAAATTGTGTATTACCTTCGTATCTCGTGTATATCAGCAAATATAATCGTGGCATTCCCTCATAACCCGCAATACTAGATAATATGTACTATACAAACACAGTTCTCCATATATCATTCCGGAGATATCTCCATATGTTACAATGCTACATGTTATAATGCATAAAACATACTGAACATCTCAATCGACCCAATCACAATCATACGCACGTCTATTTCCATACTGCATCAATAAATATACTAATCACAAAAATACTAGTGGAATAAATATCCCACAATGTACAATGACAATTTTCCATAATAGATCTCCATCGATTATCGCATTAGAATACTGAACAACTAAATTTCTTATGGACCATGCTAATATTGTTGCGTTTTATATAATATAGAAATAATTTATAGATATATTATAATATAGAAATTTATTGCAGAACACCACCTCGTTCCAATCATATTTCACTACTCGTAAACATCTAATTTACAAATATTTATAAATGTGCCTATATATAAAAAGAAAAAAGAAAATTTCAGGATTAAAGCATATAATGTATAAAATGCATATCCGTCACTCTAATTGCATCTACGCTAAGGAAAAGAAAGATAAAACTCGAGTGTGAATACACATAACGCGTAGAGTACGTATTCGCCACCCTAACTGCAGCCACACTAAGCAAAAAAAAAAAAAAAAAAAACGAGAATTCCTGCATTACCAGGGAGTGATTCGATCAATCGAAAGTGCAGGCGAGAAAAACAGCTGGTCCCAGGGTCACTGGGTTCGTCCGTTGTGAATGGACCCGTACTCGACGCAAAGAACTGGTGGTGGGGGTTCAATCATCGCAATGAATTACAACGAGCCAGTCACCGAGAGTGACTCACTACGCTGCTCTAGCCGCTGCAGCTCGATAAAAGTCTTTTTCTTTGCCCTCCTCGTGCCGGAGGAATTCGAGAGAGCCCCGGGGAGCAGAAAGAGAGGCGCTCAAGGAACGCTAACAGAAGCGGCCGCTTATGAATCATCTGTGTACGCGGGCAAAATGCTTCGGCGAGGGGACACACAGTACAGTCGGAGAACAAGAGGACTTTCGTTCGTCGCGACTGCCAACCTAACGGGATTTCTAGTGCTCTTAATGGCTCCCTGCTAACTCTTTGTTCCTGGGGTTGTATAACTGAATTTCGAGATGGAAATGGGAAATTAGTACTAATTGAGGATTTTCGCTTTCGGTAAGGACAATTTCTTATTTTACTTGTTTAACAAGCTGTGCTGTAGTAGTCGTAAAGCGTGCGTAGTAATTGCCTTGTTATAGTACAGTAGTTGTTTAATTGTTTAGCGAAGCTCATTTTTATTTTCTATGATGTTAATAAATAAGTTTCATAAAATAATTGTTTCTACGACGTGAAGACATTACAGCATCTGTTTAGTTCGGGAAATTTGAAATTACGTGGTTAAAAAATTTTACAGGTAGAAGGCTATCGGCAGAGTCGAAACATTGGTTATTGGTTATGCAACAATGATTCCCCCACCAGGAATGTTACCAGTAATGCCCACTCTTGGCAATTTACTACACGTGTCTTTCCAAACCCAATCACGAATTAAAATTCTATCTTATTAAATGCAAACCTAACCTAGAATTAAAATGCTTCTTTTTGTTTAGCCGTACTCATCGCTAAGTGGACGTTTCTCGACCTATTTACAATGTATTTGCAACCTAATCTAGAACTAAGATTAATCTTCTATTGCACTCTTTCCGAATCGAAGCTAAAACTAAAATTCTATACTAAATTCAAAGCTTCTTTTTATCTTAGCCACCACCGACTAGGACTTCCCCGATCTGGGTACAGAGTATTTTTCGGCACCGACCGAATCCAAACCTAACCTGAAGAATCTAAAATTAAAATCGTATTCTGCCGAAGCCAAACCCAGCCTAAAATTAGAATTCTACTCTAGCAAACGTAAATCTAACCTAAAACTAAAATTCTAGTCTACCAAAGCGAAACCTAACCTAGAACTGAAATTATGATTCCACTCTCGTCTCTTAACCTTTAGCTAGGTTATTATAAAACATTCTAGATCTACTTAAAAAAACACTCCATACCCGATGAAATTCGCAATTCTGACATAACATCAAATCTACGATACATATGTATACATCTAACCTTCAAAGAGTCAACCTAACCTCGCATCAGTGACCAATTTCTATGTATCAGGGCTACGAGACGTTCGTTTCGCGGCGCATCGCCAGAATTCATATCGGCGAGAGAACCGTGAAAAATCGGAATCCACGTGAGCCAGCTCCTTAAGTATCTCTCGGTATCTTTTTTTATTTTTTCGAACCGGTCGCTCTCTCGAGCCGCGCATACCGTGCCAATTATTCTCCGCACGGAAGTTCCACGGCCTGGCGTGAGAGATTGATGCGAGAGTCGATGCACTCGGCGCTTATGTTTTATTCATACCTTTCACCGGGTTCGATAAGAAAATTATATTTAAAGCCGAACGCGGCCGAGTAATGTCGCGGGAAAGGAGAAAATCAATCCGATCCTCGTCTTTCTCGAAAGTCACGCCTCTTTTCTATTTTATTTGGGATCGAAGCTACGATGATCTGGGTTTGGAACTTCGGTTTCTGTAATTTTGTTACTTTGATCGTACATGCGGAGCAAATTACGCAATTATAACTATGACGGATGGTAGACGGTTCAGAATATTTTATTTAAGCTACTATTGTTCACAAATGTGTATATAAACACGAATATTAAACTTCCTTTGGTCCACTGTATGTAATACATTGCACAGTGGAATATTTAATGTAATATAATTATGTTAAATTAATTGGAATTGAATTAATACGAGTTATAAGTCACGTTCACATAAATTAGGTCTACTATGGTCAGGTTAAATTGAGTCGAATAAATTAAATAGACGTGATCCGTTAAATGCATGATAATTTTCTAATTGAATTTCCCCTGCCTTCTTTCTCTAAACATTTTCAAATTCACAGATAGAAACTTTGCTCCATATTATAGTTGGCGTAGGACTTTCTCATCATGGAACGGTCGGATGATCGGCGCTCGTGAGAACACACGTAAGACGCGTCCTATGCAACCTATGCAATGTTCAACGAAGTAATTAGGTGATTGAACAAAAGACTTGCTGGTTATTACGTCTATGAAAGGCTTCTACGAATTGCTCTCGAAAGCACGTTCCATTAACCTAAGGCACAGTACACAGAAACATTTGATGGATGCACGGGAAATAGTGTCAAGTATTAGCATGTTTCGTAAGATGAAAATACATTTTTCAACATACGATATCGAAACTTGTAAATAATTTAAATATTACATATCAAAATGAAACATTTTCTTCTTCGTCTTATTCCGCGTTGTATTCAACTTTTACTATAACGTTACGTAATATATCGCTAACAAATTTAACTGTAAAAGAATGAAAAGTACGTTGTAGAAAGTTGTAAAAGTACAGCTCAATTTCTAGCTACTGTACAACTCAGGGAATTTTAATTCAAATTAATTCGACGTAGCCAGTGATCAAGATTTTCGATTAATTTCTTTTCCTTCACAACTTTAACAGTTTTTTCATATCGTCCCTTTTATTTTTTTCGAAATCGAAATACCCAACATTTTTGAGAATCGACTGTTCTGAGAAGAGACTGTGTTCTCTTAAGCAGATTACTTTCCAATAATTTGAACGAAACAACAAAAATTAATCGAAATCAAATCGCCTATTGAAACTATAAATTTGTACTATAAATTCCTAGTCAGCTAACGACGATAAATTCTCCTTTCGTTTATCCAACACTTTCTTCTTTATCCCAAAAATCCTTGAGATCGACTGACCGATTGCATTCTCCTTTTTATCGAGACAGGCGAGATTTTGAAAACTCGTGGAAATTCAGCGTATAAATTACGACAGTGAAATGAAATTCACGTTCGAAATGGACGTACAACCATAACGCGCAGTCGATAGTTAGCCCGTAACAAGGGACTATTTCTAGTGAATCATTTCGTCCAATTACGAAACGCATATGACTCGATTGCTGGTCGAACAGCGTCAACTATGTGACGTCGATGCACTAAAATCCTCGCAGAACAGTCACGACGTCACAAATCAAAGACGAGGCACTGTCAAGGTTAGCGATCCTGCGGTCAACGCTAGAACAAAGACAACCCGCCAGCTCGTCTCGCACGCTTAACAACATCTTGCCGTGTTAACACTCTTATAACGAGAAAGAAAAGAAGCAACCGAACTGTTAACCATATTTTGCAATCATATTTTTCATCGCTCGAAAGATGATAACCAGCATAGCGCTCGTAACGTTGGAAAATTTATGAAATATGCGAAATATCAAATATATTGGGTTGGCAACTAAGTGGTTGCGGGTTTTATCATTAGGTGGTAATGACAAAACCCCCGCAACCACTTAGTTGCCAACCCAATATATAAAATACGCAAAGTATACTTGTAATACGTGGCGGATGAAATAATTCTTTGCTGATAAGACACATTGACAAGACATTGATAAGGCATTAGACAAATAGTCTAATTATAATTTACTACGGTCTTGTTTATTCTAATGGTTCAATTTTAATCGCTATTACGCGTAGACATTGTTACAGTCGTAAGGAATTAGTCATTGCTATAGTTGGTGACAATGCACTTTGTATGCTTTGTTAAAGACAAGTTGCCTCGATTGACGAACAAATCTACGTTGTTTCGTTACGACGATTGTTCTCTCAATTTCTATCATCGCCGGAACGAGCAACAGAAACGCTTGTTCAGAACTTGTAACTTCAAATTCTGCTACCAACTGGCGCCACGTAGAAATCGGCGGGTCAACGAAAACCAACCAGTCGGATTTCTCTCGTGTACTTTTCATATTCGTATTATGTTATTTCCTATCCTACAAAGGATTAAACTATAATCGACAATCGTAACCAGATTGTTGAGAATCGTGGATCTTAATTGCCAAAATAAATGTAAGGGAACACTTAGATTATACTTAGAATCGATATCAAAATAGTTTCAGATTTATCTAATATGTGATTGACAAGATATTCGTGGATATAAATTTGCACGCGCCTCAGCACTCTCTCTTTGTCTCACCATTTCCTATACCACACTACTCGCCGAACAGTTGCATTTATCTGTTTTACGAGACGCTGTGCGCGCACATACTTCCACACACTCGTACTCATATATACGTGTCACCACTACGCGGCTAATCTAGTCTAGTACACAAAATTACACGTATCTCAATACAGATAAACCATAAAAGCAACTCCGTTAGGCGCATAATTTATTCGATAACCGAGTGGCCTCCTAAAGGTTCAACTTCGCCTCTGATAGCAGTCAGATCGCTGAAAAATTGCCTGACATTACACGTTGTAACGCTCGCACGGTAGTTTTCACGCCGCCGCGAACCAACCAAGTATCTGGTCGTCGCGGATTTCCAGTTATTTACGAGCATTATTCAGCGGCAGAATGGGCCGCGAAGCTGTAATTACGCGACGCGGAGGCGTGTTCCGCGCCTCGATTCCGCTGCGCGTCGAAAAAATCACCGAACAATCTCTATATTTATCAACGCTCTGGACACTGTTGCACGCTGGAGATCGTAGCCGACCCTCGACACTCGTCGAATCTTGAAAGCGGACGACGCGCGTGTGCTTTCGAAGGGCAGAGTGCAGATGAACGTATGGAATTAACACAGGCTTAACGCACGGTAGCGATAATACGTAGGATGATACCGAACCTGGGTAACAACGAAGCTTAACGCTAACTTTACTAGGCCCGGTCGAACGACCGAATTTGAAATTCAATCTGAGATCGTACACGTTCATCGTTATTTCTTTTGTTCGTCTAACTTTGTGTAAATTCTTATATATTGTCTGACCGATCCATTTCTTTCTTCCCTTTTCTTATTTTTTGCTTGTTTTTTAACGCGACAGGTCGTTTAACCGGTCGATAAATTTGCATCTTTTTCTAAGGTTCTCCGACTGGCACGTTGACTCCTCTGAACTCGGCTAAGATGTGACGAACTATAGTTGCATGCATCTGAATGTGGTATGCGTTTGCTTCGTCGTAAGCACTCGAATAATCCGACAGAGCCCGTGTCAGGTAACGCATAAACACAACGCAGTCTTATCGGATACTTTGAAGGAATACTTTTCAAGAATAAACTTCCTTCGCAATGATATTTTTTATAAATTGAGGGTATTTAAATGGAGTATCGTCTCGAGGACCACAGGGTGCAGACGGAAGCCTACAAGAAACCAAATACGACAGGGAGCGAACGAATCTCATAATATTCGGTATATCGGACTCGTAGTTTGTTTTAACGTCGAATATGTCAAATGTTCAGTGAGAAGATTAGCGGGAAATATACAGAGAATACAAGCGAGGAGTGTTGAGACGAACGAAATTCCAAGTTTGAAAACGAAGGAATTGAAAATGAGGATGATCAGTTGGACTATCGTCTCTCCCTTATATCGCGTATAAAAATGAAAATATACGATCGATCTTTATTATTGGGTTGGCAACTAAGTGGTTGCAGATCCTGTGCCTGAAAGAGTTAACAGGCAGTTAAATGGCAAGTCCATTTTCAA